TTATATTTCTCCTTAATACTCTACCATTTTTAACTTTAATTAAATAAGATCTTGGACTATTTAATTTACTCACTACTTCACCTTTTTCAAAATTTTTATTTTTATACAAATACTTTGTCTCCTAATTTAAAAATTAAAGCACTTTTGTCATAGTATTGTTTTTGTTTCTGTTGATTTAAACGTATTTTCTCATTAGCATTATTATTTAATTTGGGTTTTTGAATTTCAATAGTGGTAGGTAATTTAGTGTGTAGGTTATGGTTTTATATTAACTGTAATAATCGTTTTACAAGTGTGCGTTCCTCCGTACTAGGAATTTCTTTTTTAATTATTTCCGTAGTTACAACATTCAGAAAAATTGATAAATATATGTCGCTCATTTGCAAGAACAATGACATAACTCAAAAATCGTCATTTTTGGGTTATTTACAAATAATAATTATTTAAGTGTTTCTCTTTATGGTACAAGAACGACATTATCAATTATACAAAAATTAGCCGCTAGATGGCAGTTGTGACGTTATTGCGTTATCATTTGTCATCCACTTGTTTTATTTCAATATTGTCTTATCTCAGTTAGTAAATTGCGGGCATACCGGCAAATTAAAACAAATTTTGGTAGAACGACATAATTTATATTAATACGTTATTGCTGCAAAGGTAAGAAAATAATATAATTTTTATTTGTCTTGAAAAGTGAATTATTTCGACTTATGACTTTATTGATAAAATAATTATTATAACTCACATTAGAATTATTAAGTTATATGTCACTCTTGCAGAAAACTTGATTTATCTTTAAGTGCCTATGAAAAATGATCTCTCGAGGAAAATTATTACTTAAATTGGCCAGTGTATCAACCAATCCACCAAAAGATGAAAATGTAAGCAATAATCAAGATATTTTTGAAAAACCTATACAAGAATCTTCTTTACAAGAGTCATCAAAATTGAATGGTATATAATATATTGCATTATAAATTGTAATAATATTATAACTATTTATTTCAAATAAATAATATTTTTTTATTTTAGTATCAAGTAGAATGTCATCATTATCATCGTCGTCGTCAAGTAGCAGTGAGTCGTCCTCTGATTCTTCGTCGTCATCATCATCTTCCTCTNAGAATGTCATCATTATCATCGTCGTCGTCAAGTAGCAGTGAGTCGTCCTCTGATTCTTCGTCGTCATCATCATCTTCCTCTAAATGGATAGATAAATGGAAGAGAAACATAGTTAAAAAGTTGAGAAATAGAGGACTATCATATGAATCACATGGTGCGAGTAAAAAGTTGAGAAAGGAAAGGCAGATGAAATCCCTATGTAAAGAGACTTAAATGTTCATCCAAGTTCAACAATGAACAAAGAAAAGAATTGTTTTCAGGATTTTGGGAGTTGGGTGATATTGAAAGACAAAGACAATTTATTGCAAATAGTATGCAGATCATTCAACCCAAGTATCGTTATATTCGTCTAGGTGGTACTAGAGGCCCAAGAAATAGTAATAATGCGTTTTATTTCATGTTAAAAGAAGAGAAAATAAGAGTATATAAATTATTTTACAAGAATACTTTAGATATCAATGATCGACCTATTCGCACAGTTTTAAAAACACCAAATAAAATAGCTAATGTTCTAATAGAAGGAAATAGAAGGGGAAAACATGGCCAACATGTTAAGGTAGACGATAACATAAGGGACGGTATCATGAAACATATTTCTTCAATACCAAAAATTGAAAGTCACTATGCAAGAGCAAACACTTCAAAACATTTTATTGATGGGAGTAAGTCTATTGCTGATATTCACAGGGATTATGTGGCTGATTGTAAGGAAAGAAATGTTACATTTGGCAACTATGTATTGTTTTATCGTATTTTCACTCACGATTTTAATATTTCATTTTTTCAACCAAAGAAAGACTTGTGTGATACACGTGTGGCTTATGACAATGCAATAGGTGAAGAAAAAAATGAGTTGAAAAATAATTATGAACAACACTTGGTAGAAAAAGATTTGTCAAGAACTGAGAAACTTGTTGATAAAGAAAAGTCAAATTTAATTATGGCTGTTTATGATGTACAAGCTGTGATGCCACTGCCAATAGGAGATGTTTCTACATTTTATTACAGGTTAAAGTTAAATGTTTTTAATTTCACTATTTATGACATGCAGAAAAATATTGCTGTTTGCTATGTATGGGATGAATCAAATGGAGGAAGAGGTGTAAATGAGTTGGGAACTTGTATATGGAAATATTTGGAAATGAAGTCCAATAAAAATGATGGGGATGTAATTTTCTATTCTGATAATTGTCCGGGCAAAATAAAAATAAATTCATATTTGCTTTATACATTCACGCAATTCGTCAATTGAAAAATATAAAAACAATCACACACAAATACCTTATAAAAGGACATACTCAAAATGAAGGCGATTCAATTCACTCCTTAATAGAGAGACAATGTAAAAAACAGTTAAAAAGTGGACCTCTTTACACTCCAGAAGCCTTTATTTCTATAATTCGTACTGCTAAAAAAACTGGAGAACCGTATCGCGTTCATGAATTATGCTACGAAGATTTTTATTATATAAAAAGTCTGTGTACTGAAATCGGTGTAAATATTACAAATAACACAGAGAATGAAGTAGTGAAGTTTACGAATATAAAAGTTCTGAAAGTTAAGAAGGAATCTCCATCATCCATTTTTTATAAAACATCATACTCTCAAACAGAATTCCAAGAAGCTGTTGTGATCAGAAGAAAAAAACCTGTAGCTGTTGAGTTAAAAAAAAAATTTTTCTGCAAAACCAAGGATCTCAGAAAAGAAAAAAGAAGACTTATTATACTTAGTTAAGAAAAATTTTATACCAAACTTTTATAAACCATTTTATGAACAATTATAAATATTCTGTAATATTATAATACTAATCTAATGTATTAATTCATCCATAAGTTAAAAAGTTACGTTTTTATTATTTAGAAATTATGTTTCGTGATATTATAATATAGTATCTACTTGTTGCGACTGACGTCGTAAACACACACAAAAAAAAAAAGAGAAAAAGAAGAAAGCACGATTCTATTAT